CAAGATCTATACTGCATGGGTATCAGGATGAATGTAAAAGTCCAATACAGGTAGAAAAAAATATGTATATTATCCTGTCAAAATCCTCCTTTACATCGTTAAGACGTTAAAATTGTTGTTTACTGTTTGAACTTTTGATGGTCAAACACATCACCAAGAGTAATCCACAACATAGTATATTGTACACATACATCTAAATAGACCTTATTTTATCAAATACTTAAAAAAATGTGATTTCAAAACAAGCATCAGAATTGATTAATGAAAAAACACAGCCTAAAAGATGAATCCGAGGGGGAAGAACCCCCCCCCCCAACCCCCAACCAGTAATGAACATTTTCTCCCCATTTGTATTTCAGTGCGTGCAGACCATTTGTTTATTATTTTGAGCAATATAATGAATTTTTCAAAAGATGGGGATGAGAAGAAGAAACTAAAAGAAAAAATAGGTAACATAGAAAGACCTAGTGCTCACTGATGCCTCAGCAACAGATTGACCATGGCCTCCGAAAGAGAGTTCTTCATCCGTGTCAGGGCCCTCATCATCATACTTGGCTCCAGCAGCTTCACTCTGTTCTGCAACAGCAGCTGGGCTTCTTGCAGCCTCATTATCACTTCCTGAATGCAAATTGTGAAGAAAAAAATGAGATGCAGGACAATTGCCAGTGTCAGCCCAAAAGAAAACACAACAGTTGAACTATGTAGACTTCGCCACATTGCATAGAAAATCTGGTGCCGATGTAAGCAGTGTATTTCAGCAACTTTTAATGACATTTTTTTTTTTTGGCTACAATGTGTCTAAGCTTACACCGACTACTCTCTCGAGTTCAGCAACTGACCGGCTTGAGCTAGGTTAGAACATATCGCTAAAGGGACAAGGAAGCTAACCCTTAAGAGGTGTGGGAAGGAATCACCCCTAAGTCAGGTTCAACCACTGAATCACCCCTAAGTGTTAACTTTTAATGACATAGCTTTCAGACAATGACGGAAAAACAATCCTCTTTTTTTCTTAGCCGGGATTAATGTTTTTTATTTGAGAGTGTAAAAAACAATGCTCTTTATTCATTGCCCCGCCCATGCAAGCTCTAAGCTCTCTCGGGGTACTGCTTTGGTTGTCCTCAGAGAATTAACTCGATGCTTGCTATCACCTACCACAATATTGGCATGGAGAAGAGAACCAAGAACTTCAATATAATGCTTTATCATTTGGAGTCAAACGATGTAGGTTTTCTTCCTGACTTCTGATTGGAACTGACAAAAGACCCATATTGTTGTCTTTAATGTCATCAATAATGAACAGACTGTCACCTCTTATTCTTCTAGGTTTAAGGACAAGACTTGTGGAGTACTCTGGGGCACTATTAGAATGGGTATAATTATTTGAATTAATATTGCAACCAATAGCCCAACTCAAGTGCTCAACTGGGGATAGGAGGCATCTATAAAAATCACTAACCAATGTCATCCTTTCTTCTCAAAGCCAACAAGATTTGAGTTTGCAACCATAGAAGAGTTTTTTTTTTTTTTTGATAAAAGAAGAATTTTATTATTGAAAGAAATAAAGAGTAACCCACCAAAAAATGATTTAAAAAATTGAAAATAAACCTAAAGTAGAGCCACCATCCAATTCTTTTGAAGATTCGACAAAGACAACCCTCTAAAACTTTCAGCGGATTTGGTCTAAAGTGAAGCCATAAAAACCAATCGTTCCCGTACTAATTCAGAAGATAGAGAACTATTATTGAATATTCTAGCATTTCTCTTTATCCAAATACACCAAAGAATTGCCATAAATGTACAATGTCATAGTAATTTGGCTTCTTTTTGCTTTCCAAAACCACAATACTTAACCTGCAACATTAGCTCCAATGTAGAAACTTGGATAAAGTTATTCCACAAGCTGTATGCAAAATCACAGTAAATAAGTAAATGACCATTCAATTCACAGCTACACCAAGAACTTAGACAATTATCAGGGCTCAATGCTTTATACGGTTATAGGGCTTTCGAACCTACAACAAATCATTAGTATTCACCCAATTAAGGACAACAGTCCAAACAAAAGCCTTAAATTTAGAAGGATCTTTGAATTTCCAAATAAATTTGGCCAAACAGAAATAGTCAGTATTACTAGAACTAATAAGATGTGAATAGAAAATTTGGATGAGAAAATCTTAAATTTATCCACTACCCAAACTCTACTATCCTAAGGCGAACAAGTTTCAAAGTCATTGAGAATATGAAGCAAATAAATCAAATCTATTGTTTCAGTATCATTAAGATGTCTAAAGAAATGAAAATCCCAAGAACGTAAGTTCATCCCTATGACTAAAAAAGAGGTAATAAGAGACTCGTGAAGTGAGGATAAATGATAAAGACGGAAAAAGATACTGTGAAAAAATAAGTCCCCAAGCCCCGTATACTCCTAAAATAAAACATTGGATCCATCTCCAACTTTATATCTAGTCAATGGAAGAAAGTAAAGGTAAATCTGTGAAGGCTATGCTTACACCTAATTACCTTATGCCAAAGGGAGTAATGTTCAAATGGGAACCTCCATAACCATTTTCCTACGAGAGAAATATTTTTAAACACCAAATTACCAAGTCCTAAACCCACTTCATCTATATGCTTGCAAACTTTCTCCCAACTCACTAAATGATCCCGCTTATCATCTCCCACCCCAAACCAAAGAAATTTACTCATCATCTTCTCTAATATCCTAGCTATTATTATAAGGATTCTAAAGAGTGATAAATATTACAAACAGATGCTAGACAAACATACTTTTATCAAAGTGATACTCACTTCAAGAGAAAAATATGTCATTTTTCAACCATCCAATATTTTACACATCCTTTCAACAATTGGATCCCAAAAGGGAAAAGATCTCAGAACACCACCCCCCCCAAAAAAAGGTAAACCATAGGCCTCTTAGATACTGAACAACTGCCTTTAATGCCAAATCTCTAATAACCTCCCCCTCCAAATTAATGTCCATAACCCCACCTTTGGGCATATTAATTTTCATGTCATAAACTTGTCCAAAAACTTTAATCAACAAAAACACGTCGTGAAAACACTCTTTTTATCTATAGGAATAAAATAGCGTAATTAGCAAACAACCAATGTAACATAGTTACATCCTCACTATCCACTCTGAATCCCTCTATCAATCCTACTTTTTCTGCTCTAATAATCATCTAGCTCAAGAAATCAACAACCAATATAAATATAAATGGTGATAAAAGATCTCCTTGCCTCAAGCCCCCAGACCCATTGAACCACTCTCTAGACTCCCCATTCACAAATACTAAAAAAGTCTAACAAGAAAAATAATTTCGTATCCACCTTCTCCACCTTTCCCTAAAACACTTGTTTTTTAACACAATATCCACAAAATTTCAATTTACCTAATCATATGCCTTTTCAAAATCAATGATCCTTGCATCTAGCCAAGAGTAAAAAGCAGAGGCTGCACAAAGTAAGACTCCCATCATTTCAATGATGGTGAGGCCAACAAGGTTCCTCAGACAAGCAACCTTAACTTAAACAACTATTTACATTCCTTTACAAAATTAATAAACAAATGTACAATGTCCATATAAATGATTAACAAAAAACATTGTTCATTACTAAGTGCTTAATAACATATACAGTGATTATGGCTTCAAAAACAAAGACTAAACTAAGTTTAAATGGTCAATCGAAATTCAGTTTCAATATCTAAAATGATGTTTTTAAATTACCATCATCCTCAATTTCAGACATGCTAGAAAACCCGGGACCAATGTCCACATCTTCATCTGTTTCACTTTTACCCTCTTCTTCTCTTTGCCTAAAAAGAATAGAAACAATTTTGAGAATGTTAACTTGAAATATGGCATAAAACTCAATTATTAAGAGTTTTCAATAAGATTGATAAAATCAATAAATCATCGAAAGTTTATTAGAATGTAAATTGTATAAACAATCCCACATCTATGAATAGGGAATATTAACAGAAAATAAATAAACATGCAGCTTGTTGGCTACTACGTGATAAAATATGATTACAAAAGGAACCAGTTTACTGAGACCATTTTTACAAGGGTGGTCCCAACTTGGTCAGTCCTTGTCAATCCAAGGTGCTCAAAGAGTTGAACTAGACACGGTCCTAGCATCTGGCATTATTGCACAAGATGGATATCCTCATTTTTTAACCCAAAACTCCACGATCGTTAGCCCAACACATAACTAAAGCACCAGGTATTGATCGTTCCCCAATCAACAATGTCAAGAAAATTGTGTCCATCCAAAGGCGGACAAAAGCATATAAAGAGTGCTTCACAATCATAATAGAATAATATACAAACACATTATGTTTATTACTACACTATTGGAAATAGCCCCTACAACACACAGGTCAATCAAATTCAATGATTTGTGTTTGGCACAACTCCTGGATGGACTTCTTAAAATCGTGCTTTTGGGACTTTTCACGAAGCCAAATCTATTATTCAAGTAGTAACATTAAATTTCCCTACAAGCCCCAAGTTTTTTTGCATGAAACCTTCTTAACCCCACAGAACCAATTTGCATGCCCTACTCTTCATCTTCTTCATTTTTCTCCAAACCTAGTAGACGGCTCTTTTGTCGGTATAAATATGGTACACAAGTCGAATAGTCTTTGTCATTAACTTTTTTGTAATATCCAAATTGGAAAAATAAGACCCATTTGAGCCAAATGGAACAAAACAATAAGGGTTATGATATGCAGCAAAATGGTGGCAAAACAAAGTTTTCCGAATCCTCGGTTGAAGTTCTATACAAGCCAATTCCATTGCAATAGTTCTTGGAGGACCTTCCTTTTCAATGCAAGTTACTTGTAGCAAAGACTGCCCTTGTGTGGTTTCAATCGTTGCATTCCTTTTGAGCACGAATACTGGTCCTGAACAAGACCTTCCTATGATTTCACATCTCGACAAGGGTTTCGAAGAATTCATCATTTTCTCTCTTTGTCTCTTCCTCTTTATGTATATATATAGGCTTTTTTACTGACTTTTAACAGAAAAAAAAACACCAGCATGATCTCTATTCTTTCTTCCTCTCCTTTTGTATCTCTAACCTATATGTCTCTTCTCTTTCTCATGCAATATTTGGGTTTATTGTTGCATTGATGTGCGAGGGTTTGAGAGAATATTTCCTTCTTTCTTAGTGTGCACTCTGAACACACATTTTTTACAAAACTTGAAATTTGCAAAAGGCAACGGGGATAAAATTCGATTTGATGGTTTTGGTTCATGTACTAGAGAGCCAAGACTGTTTGGAGATGCACGGTGTTGGCTTTGTTCTGGGAAGATCTTTGGGATAAAGTCTCTTTCATAGTGTCTCTTTGGGCATCTACATCCAAGGATTTTGAAGGAATTCCTTTATCTTTAATTAAAGACAATTGGGCTCAAGTGTGTGAACAATAAAACCACGTTTGGTCTTTCATCTTTTTAGGGCTTTACGTTATTGGCCTTACTTAGACTTTATTTTTCTTGATGCGTCTCTTGGAGGACTCTTTGTCCTCTTATGTACTATTTTTCTCTTCTTTAGTAATAATATTCTATCTCTTCCTATCAAAAAAATTAATATTAAAACGAGTGTAAGGGTAAGATTGTTAACTGCTAAGTACATGTTATTTTGCATTCTAAGATGTTTCCACCAACCAAACATAGATATCCACATACGTAGATTCACTCCATAATTCAGATGCACTTCCAAAATACACCTTCAGCAAAAATCCAAAATCCAATATTTTTTAAGGGTCCATAATGCAAAGTAAATTTTGTCGAGTCCATCCATGGAATGCACTTTTACTTTGACTAGTTGTTTCAAACACCTCAATGGCCCAAGTCTCTAACCCCCTGGTAGTTTGGAATCAAACAAAATCTAGTAGATCGTCAATAAATTTATCTGAATTATTAAACTACCCAAAATTGATAAAATTCAAAACCGATAGGATCTAATAACCCGCAAGGAATGCATGTCATTCATCAAATTTGAGTTGTCAACAACATCATCCTGGCTCGCTACGCAAAAACACGGAAAGTGTATTAAAAATGTGATCTAATTTTCTCTAAGAGAAAAAGACCATTACCTTTTCTTGTAAGCATCGGTGATGAAATCACTACCAGACCCCAACGTCTTCAATAAATTATTATAACTTGAAAGATCTCTAAAAACCACTTCTTCTTTTTCTTCTTCTTCTTCTTCCAAAACTAAATACAAGTTACAAAGGATCGGTGAGAACATGCCAGAATATTTACAAAATATATGTTCATAATAACAACAATGACCACATAGTAATAATATAAATCTTGCCTGCGATACTTGGAGGTTGGCTACAAACAATCTCATCTTTGGTGCGACAATTCTTTCTTGCTTGTTTACCCATTTCAAACACGCCGGGTTTACTAGGCCTCTTGAACCCTCCTATATTAACAAAATAAACAAATAAATCTACTTAACTTTCTTTTCATAGGAATTCTTGACAACCGAACACAAGAAAGATGGAATATACCTCTTTTTCTAGCAAAGTATTGCTTTCCCATCAGTCTTCGAAAAAAAAAGAGAGACGGAGAATTCTTTGTTTGTGCTTTGAATGTCACTCGTTCGGTAAAACTCTGTTAAACTCTAATGTTCAAATTCAAACGGGTTAATCAGCTCCTCACCAAGTAATCCCATGGCCCATTTTGAATGGAAAACAATAAATGAGCTCCATAAGATTCGGGTTTTTTAACAACTAGCACTTTGTAACAGTCACGCACTTTATTATATAGAGATTATATGTACATATATACAAAAAAAATTGTGAATATAGTTGAAAGTTAACTTTCATAGAGCCAACCAAATCTCTACCCCAACTAAATCTATAAATAACCCTCAGTACAATAATTCCAAGTCAAATATTCTTCTACAAAAAAACAAATAATCAACCGGTAAAACATTAGTTTGACCAAAATAAAAAACAACGAACACATAGATTTTTGAAACCGTAGACATTAGATTCACAACTAACATGGTATAGAGAGCAGCTTTACAATTCCAATGAAAGAGAAGCCAAGGAAAATATTAGAGTTGGAAAAACAAAAGAGAAGCCACATGTTGAATATACGAAATCAGTTATGGATATCAAGATTTAGAAATGCACCTAACACATTGAAGAACTTATGGTTAATCATGATCAAAGATAATCTTGAGTAGATCAAACCTCAAAAATAAAAATAAAAAAGAAAATGGTTTTCAGTTATTGGCTTACTTTTGACAATGGAAATCATTTTATTCATTCATGTATCACATATTAAATGAATTTATGTGAGTCATAAGAAGAGAGAAAAGAACCAACACATTATGCAATCACACAAAATAGGAATTTGCATTGCCATCCACCTATAAATAGAGGTAATAAAACATACCATTATTGCGTTGGCATCCACCAAAGTAGTAAGTCAGTTTATAACTATCCTTTCAAGTCTTACACTAAACAACTAAACACCAAAAAAATTAAAGAAGTAAAAAAAGAAAAAGAAAGTAAGAATTTCGGTTCACCTAACAAAAAAATCACTGTATAACAAAATCAAAATTTTACTTATAAACCATAGGAAAAGCTAACAACTCTTCCAATTGGGAAACCTAGAGAAAGGCTAGCAACTTTTCGGATTGGGAAACCTTAGGAACGGCTGGAAGACCCATGGTTCTCTTGGATAATTTTCTTTTAAGCAATGCTATTGGGACATAATTTGAAGATATAATACATTATGACCAATGGGTCCTATCATTAAATGCATCTCACTATCATTCATTGATCACAATTCATTATATCCCCAAATTATATCCCCGATTATGTCCCAATAACATTAGCGTTTTCTATTATGTTATTTATGATACATGCACACACACAACGCACGCAGTACACACACAGCCACAAAGAAAGACACATACACACACACACAACGACCACACAGCTCACACAGAAACCCAGAACAACACACACACAGACACATACAGACAACGAACACCATACACACATAACATATAACACACATAAAACCCCAGAAAATGCACAAAGAGAGAGAGAGACAACACAAACAGAGAAACTCACTCAAGCACACGCACAGAAACATACACACACAAAGTGCACAGTAAGAGAGGGAAAGAGAGGAACACGCTCAAGCACATAAACAACACACACAGAAAAACATGGAGGCGCTGACTTGGCGAGAGAGAGAGAGAGGAATACCGTGACTGAGGTAGAAACGCTAAATTCGGCAGTGAACAGCGTCAAAGTGTGTTGGGCGCAGGGTGGTTTAATAAGCAGAGATAGAGAGGGAGAAAGAAGTCAGGTTAGGTTTTTTTTTATTATGTGTAAGGTAAATTACACCAATGGTCCTGAGGTTTGCCACTTATTGCACTTTTGTCCCTAAAGTTCTAATTTCGTCAATTTCATCCGTCATACTAACAAATTGACTCACTTTGGTCTTTACTCTCAATTGTCATCCAAATAATAAACGAAAAGGACATGTGACCGCATGTGAGGAAGTCTTAAGAGCAAAGAAGTCATTTAACAATAACAACACATTTTTTTCTCTCAACCATTTTCTCTTTGACAATCGGCACACCATCGACTCCACCACTACGCAGCCTCCACCTTCTCTCTCTCTGCTTTGTGTGTGTGTGTTTGTGTTTGACTACCTATCAGTGTTGTTAGAATCAAACCGGACCGACCGGTCGGACCAGTTCAACCGTGACCCAGGGCCTTAACCGGTCCGATTACCTAATTGGACCACATAAGGAAAAGAATCAGTTAAAAACCGAAAAATCGGCCGATTTTTATAAAAAATCGTGAATCGACGATTTTTATAAAAGTCGAACGGTTTGAAGAAAAATAAAAAATTAAATGACTTATATTACAATTGTTCTTATTTGGACCATTCGTTTGCCCTAAATCACAAAAGCCACCACTCCACTCCCAGGCGACCAACGAGCAACAACCAGCGTCGCTAGTGAGAATTTATTTAATTTCTTCAAATTTTCCTCATGAATTACCACTTTTCATTTCACTCTCTCTCTCTCAAGGGTTTGCATTCATTGATCCTTTTCAAATACCTAATTTGGGTATTCAATCTTAGCTTTCAAAGAGATTCCACGAGATACCCATTTGGGTATTCTATGCTATTTATGGTTGATCTGGGGTTTACATGTTTCAGTTGGTGTGAATTTTAAATTTTTTGGAGGATTGGAAAATTGGGTTTGTTTGGGAGTGAAGAGGCGATGAGGAGTTTAGAAGAGAAATGGAGGTTAGGTCTGAGAATGTACAGTTGAGGTGTGATAAACTTCCAGGTCAAGTGATTCCGAGGATTCGATTGCAGGTGTGGTTTATTAGGGTTTGTTCCAGCATTTTGATATGGACATGTGTGGATCAGCTCCTCACAGTGGGCGAGCTCTGGCATCCACATATATCTAATTGGTTCACTGGGTTGGCGAGATTAACTGTCCATGTTGAAGAGGTCATTGCATCACCTCCGCCTCTCCTTCTCGCAATTGAGTAAATTTTAGCTTGAATTAAATGACCAAGTGCTTGAAACATTCATTACTGTTATGTATTTTTGCAAGTTTGGTATCATTGAAGAGTAATGCACACGAAAATATGGCTTTCTGGATTTTAGTTTGTTATGTGGTTTGCTTGAAGAATTTAGAACTTGAATGAAATCATTGGTTCCAGTAATGCCATTTAATATTTGGTGAAGATTGACCTAGTAATAAGGTTGGCAAATTTATTATGTTTAATGACTTCATTCAAGTTCTAAATTCTTCAATCATTGTAGCGGTTAATTAAACCACCGCTAAATACGAGAATAAGACTGATGTTAAGATTATTAACGGAAATACCACTGTGAATTACAATATGACTCTCATTGTCCGACCAATTGACCCACTAATTGAACCAGTGAACCATTGATCTAGTCCCTTAATTGGTTTGATGACCGGTCCGGTTCTGATACCATTGCTCCCTATTCCCATCATCGAAAACCACTTAAACACAACCCTCACCATGCCTTATTTACCCATCACCCACGCCACAAGCGTGTGTCCACCACCAAACACCCATCCCCTATTTCCCTCCCCATTCCTTCCCTCCCTTCAAGAGACCCAAAAGCCTCTCTTTCTCCACACAGATTTTGAGCTTGATTTCAATTTCGATAAGGGAATCACGAGTGCAATCCAGCATCCAATTCAAACCTAATTCTTCATTATTCCAACAATGAGAGTCATATTGTGCATCTCTGTGCGTGTATATATTTGGGCACTTCTGTTGTGGGTGCATTGTTATGGTTTTGTTTTGTTTCTATGCTAGGGTTTGAGAGAGAGAGGGGAACTGTTGGTTTAAGGGGCGGAAGACGCATGAACTGGAGAGAAACAGAGAGATAGATTTGTGGATTTGATGGAAAGGGACAAATAGAGCTAAGATAGAGAGTAAGAGACGTGCATGCATTAGGAAAATAGCTTACTTGGAAGTTTTCGGAGCTACAACAACTGTGGTGGTGGCCGGTGACAATGCTCGCAATGAAAGGAAGGGGAAGAGAAAGAGAGGTGGGGGGATCTAGGCATCAGGGTTAGTGTTAGGGGTGGGGGATCGGGTCACTGGTACTGAAGAACTGTCGACAGTGGTTTAGGTTTGGGGAAAGGGGTGGAGTTAACAGTTTAATTCTTGGTTTTTGTTTTGAAAAGTTGGTTTTCCATTTATGACCCTTGTCTTTGGAAGCGCAATGACAAAAATGCCTCTTAATATCCTCATATGCCAAGCATGTGACATTTTTCGTCTATTATTTGGACGGCAGTTAGGAGTAAGGACTAAAGTGAATCAATTTGTTAACATGAATGATAAAATTAGAACTTTTGGGATGAAAGTGCAACAAGTGCCAAACCTCAGGGACCATTAGTATAATTTACCCTTATGTGTATTATGTGCCTGTGGCTTTACAATTAAGAGAGAGGGGGCGGGGGAATGGCGCAATAATTGCGGGTGAATGGGCAGGTTAGGGTTTTTTTGTTGTGTATGTCATGTGTGTAGCGTTAAAAACTTAAAATTAAGAGGGGGAGAGAGAGAGAGAGAAAATAGGACAGTAATTAAGAGTGAATGGGGGTAATTGAGAGTTACATTTAAAGTAATATTTTTAGGTGAAAAATTAATATTTTAATAGTAGGGTTTTAAAATTCGGCCCGGATATCAACCCAACAAAGAGACCGGATCATTGGGTTCATGGTTCAATGGTTGGATCATTGGGTTAATGATTCAACCGTTGGGTCACTAATTGGACCAGTAATCTAATAAAAAATAAAAAAATAATTATAAATAATAATAAATAGGCTAAAAGTTTATAATAAACCCAACAAAATCTCATTTCATAGCAATAAAGACACCACCATATATCTAAATTCAAGCTTCAAAAGCATCAACAACATCCTCACAAATCACAGATTCAATGTATGAAAATAAAGAATCACGGATTCAATAAAAATAGCAGAGACACAGAGTATGGTTGCCGTTAATTACAGATTCAATGTATACAAATCAAAAATCTAACATAGCAGGAGAGAGAAATCGAGAAAGATAACGAGAGAGAGAGAGAGAGGAGCAGACTAGTACCTGCTACTGTCGATGGGAGTTGTTGTTGGCTACCACGATGGAGATCTAAAGCTTGAAGCAGCCTCTTCTTCGAAGCAGGAGTCCCTGAAGCAGAAAAGCAGAGTCCCTTCACCCTTGAGCTTTTATTGCTCGCTTTCAGTCGCAGCACAGAGACTCAGAGAGCGAACGAGAGAAAGAGAGAGAGAAGCCAAGGGAGGCGCTGAGAGTCTCAGAGCAATGGGGGGGAGGGGGGTTGGAAACGATTTAGATTTTAGGGCAAAATGCCCCAAAAAGGCAAAACCAAACATTTTATACGAAATTAAGTGATCCAGCCGATTTTTTAAAATTCGTCCAGGTTCAGCAGGTTCACCGGTTTTATGTCGGTTCAGCTCGTTTACACCGGTTTTATCACACAATCGGCCTAATAATGAACCGGCCCGGTTTACCGAGTCAACCAACCGGGCCGGGCCGGATTTGGTTTTAAAACACTGTTTAGCAGTGAATTTTAACCCTTCGATCAACCTTTAGCAAATTCAATCTAAATCGCATAAAGTTCAAAACAAATTAAGAATTTCAAACTTTTTGTAATTTATTATATAGATATATCATATATTTTTTTCAAATTAATTTTCAACACTACACGCGCGTTTTTCCTTTTCTCCTCTTCGGTGAGTGGTCTATTTTCTAAATATAATTATGTTATCTATTGTATATTTTCTTGATATAAAACTACTCTCATCAGGAGTAATCAAACTATACATCGAAGGTCTGAATTTACATAATTTTATGGCTTACATTATAGAGACTAATTGGCCTAAAGCTAAGTGATTTGGGTGGAGTTATCAACTTTGGGAATTATAGTGGGGTTAATTTTAAATTGTATTTTCAAATATCGTTTGTATTTTAATTTGCACTATTAAAGATCAAAAATTTTAATTTGTACCCTTAAAGATATAAATTTGTATCAATACGCACGTCAAACTAACAATTGTGTCAAAAATTAAATGGATAAGTTACACCTAGACCTCTCACATTTGAAATATTACACCTATATCCCTTTAGAATATAAAATATGACTAAAAATGTTCCACAATTAGGCATCTAAATAATTATGTATTTCATTTGATATAAATAACATTATATAAATACTTGCAATATATTGGACATTCAAATGATAAAGTTTGATTTTGAACTTTAGAGTATGGTAGCATATAAATTATAATTTTTTATTATGATAAAATCATATTTTTAACAGTTATATTAACAGATATCAATGACAATAAGTTATGTATTACACGTGCATAAACGTCAAGAGGTATAAGAGTAATATTGTAAATGTGAGGGGTCCAAATGATTAATTAACAAATATGATGAGATTTATGTATAATTTATCCATTTAGTTTTAGACGGCAAATTAATAGTTGTTAATTTCAGGTGTGTATTGATACAAATTCTTATATTTTAGGGTGTAAATTAAAATTCGAACGATTTTCTAGGTATAATTTGCAATTAACTCATTATTGGTGAGAAATGTGCTATTAAATTCTTATGGGCAATTCTTATCAAGAATAGCATTTTTAACTGAATTAAACGAAGAAAAAAAAAATCTTGGAGGCCATCAAATTAGATAAATTTATTTTTAATCTTACTAATAAGTAGTTAATTCCACTATTTTTTAAAAACTCAAAATTACCCTTATTTAAAAGCAACTTGAAATTAGTTTATTAACTCGGGAATTATTATCCCTTAATTTACTATCAATGAAAATATGTCATAATTTTTTTTTACATAAATTTAAAATTAAAATTCAACTAACAAGTGATACTCTTTCTCTGTTTTTTTCTCTTTTTATATATAAATTTGGTTACTATGTTACTTTTTTGTGAACATCTCACTATTTTTGTTGGGCATGTGAACTTGTTAATACTCAATGTTATTATTATTTTTTTGTGTTTGAGTGATATGATTTTTTGTGTTTAAATTGTATTATTTTTTTGAATGTTACTATATGTATGTGCGTGCGTGTATATATATATATATTAGATAAATAAATATTCATATTCTATATATAGATATGAATCATGTGATAGAGAGAAAAAATTTGAATGTTAGTCAAATTTTTAAAATTTATGAGTTGTTAGTTTTTAAATTTGTTTTAATTAAACACTACTAGGAGTATTTTAGATAATCTATATAAAAATGGACTTAATATTAAACAAGTTTTTTGATAAATTTATCATCAAATAAGTCCACAAAAGAGGATCCATCTCCAAATTTTCTTGGAGATTTTTAGCCTACCCAACCCAACCTAACCCAACTAATGCAATTAGAAAGGAAAGAGATGCATTCCTATCTAGTTCCATGTTTGGCTAGTATAGTTAAAATCTTGTGGATTCCACAAATTTCAAGCTTTGTTTATTTTATTACAATTGTACCAAAATACCCCTTAAAAGAGTTCAATCCTAACTGGCTTAAAATACCAGGAATAGAACAGTAATTGTATGCCCAAATCCTGCCCGACCAGAATTTATGCCACCTCCCAGGTGGGTTACAATAAACCCACATAGAGGTATGGTAAAATATACTGTACATGTTGGGCCGGGATATGGCCCAATAGAGTTACCCATTCTAAAAATTAATTTTCCAAACATAGTACATATTTATACTAATAAGATAGAGACAAATTTAAACTTTTCAAATTGAAATCATCTCTTACAATTTAGAAAAACGGTTAGGATATGATTGAAATTTAGATATAGAGTTCAGATCTCATCTAAATTCATCTAATTAAATCTGATGGCTCACAATCCACGCCAGCTAAAACCCAAATCCCGCCCATTATACCTCTACACACACGCCACCCAATTCAAAATCACACTCCAGTCTATCTCATCCACCTCTCTCTCTCTCTCTTGCAACTCTACCATGGAAGACGCCCAGGTACCCCTCTCTCTCACGACTTTCACATACAAATACATACAGCTCTCTCTCTCTCTCTCCTCTGCTAGGCACGATCCCAGGTATCCTTCCTCTCTCTCTTCATACACACACAATCATACATACCCAGCACACACGCACACACATTCAAACATACCCAGCACATAAGGGGTATATATGCTTCTCTATGATCATTAGTCTGAATCGTGCATTTTGTGTGCTTTCAGGAAGGGTATCTCTGCTTCTGCTTTGCCTTACAAGATGGCACAAGATTTCTTCTCAGGATGTGAGTTATTTAGATTAACTCTAATATTTATCTACTCATTTGTACAATGGACAATGTATGGATGCAAATATTTCACAATTGCTTCACTCTTTATTCTGATTTTGTTATAGGTTGATGAAAACATCTGCAAGTTCGCGAAGAAAGGTTTGACACCGTCACATATCAGTGTTATCCTTTGTGACTCATGGAATTGCTCAGGTCAAGAACGTCACTGGAAGCAAGATCTTGCGTATCCTCAAGGCTCACGGTAACATTTTCTCTCATTTCTCTTAATTCAATTTCCGTGTAATTACGATTGTCGATGGGTGGTGTCCATTTCATTTGCTTAGGCCTTGCTCCGAAGATTCCAGAGGATCTGTACCATTTGATCAAGAAGGCTGTCGCAGTTCGCAAACATCTACAAAGAAGCAGGAAGGACAAGGATTCGAAGTTTCGATTGATAAGTTCATAATTGGGAAATTTCATAATTTGGTTTTTTTTTTCCATAACTTGAGTGCTTTGAATGATTTAATAATTAGGGTTATTTGTCAATTTGGTGTTTTCATAATGGGGTGATTTCATAATTTGAGTTTTTTTTTTTCATGATTTGTGTGTTTTAAATTAAATGCATGTTATAGTTGTTAGTGTTATTTTCATTGGATGTTTGATTTGATTCACCACCACCAACCACACACACACACAACACAGTTTCTTTTTCTTTACAAACACAAAAAACGAGTTTGTGATTTTGTGTTATTGTAGTCTGATATTTTTTTGGTAAATTTTGTAGTGAATTTTTTTGAAATTGAAACCGGAGATTTGGAGTAATTGAAATGGAAACCACCAGCCACCAACCACAACCACCACATTTTCGAAATGTGAAATTGAAGTATAAGAGTCGGATTGGTTTTGTGAAATCAAATGTTCTCTATTGGCAAAGTGGAATGGTGATATTGTCGGATTGGTTTTGTGAATTTTGTAACAAGGGTTTTGGATTGGATCATGGAATATAATGGGTTTTGCTTGGCAAGTTAAGTTGACCAAAAAGGTCCACTTTAAATGGTTTAAGATGAACTTTAACGATCATGGGGATGAGTTTTGATGTTGTACCGTATTTTTAGGAACGGGTTATTAAACAGATAAAAATCATCCCAAAAATTTTACTTTCTTACTCATTAATGTCAGCATCGCACCTATGCAAATCATACGAGCTCAACACCTACAACCCACATGAACATTCTCGCAGACACATACACATTTGCTCAACTTAGAACTCTACGTCTTTACTTTGTGGTACTTTTCTTTTCTAAAATTCACTAAATTTTTTTTCCATTTTCTTGAATTGTTGTGTGGTAATTTCTTGATTGTTCATATCCCTTGGTGTGGTTCTAGCTTTGGTTGATTCTATCAAGAGTTTTCAGTAATCATTTTAGGATTTGATTATTGACTAGAACAATAAAAACAGTTAAGTGATAACATGATTTTCTTAACAAGACCCTCAATAACAAAAGGTTAAGTGACAACATGATTTTCTTAACAAGACCCTCAATGACATCACATTTCTGCAATGTTTGCTTACTTTTTATTTTTTGAATATGAACTTTTGTTTTATTTTATCTTGCATTACAGTGCCTATTAGTTCAAGTTGTTTCAAAAATTAGCATGCAAGAGTCTGATCTCTTCTCTCTCTGTCTTTGTCTCTTTTTTCTCACCCAGCCTTGATCATGATGGAGCCACAATCAATGAAACAGCGACCCACCATCGAGTAACCCCTCATTAGCATGCCCAAATTTAGGTATCCTTCTCTCGCTTTTCCTCTCTCTATGTTCATTTTTGTCTTTCGGTCACTTTTTCTTCGTCTCCAACACACATGCACATAAACACACACACATGTACACATGCACAACACACAACACACACACTTACAATACACACACAACACAGCGCGCACACACAATATATGCAAAAAGACACAAAAAACTTGATAATTGAAATTGATTTTGAATATATTTGAAATTAAATTTTAGTAACTTTAGGGGAAAATTGATACTTTGCTAAACTTTTGGTGTTAGATTTGATATATTTAGTTGATTTTGATATCAAGTTGATTTAATTGGTTGAATGGGTTTCTTTGGTGTATGATTAGGTGAGTTTCTTTGGTGCTTGATTAGTGATCAAATTTAATATTAAGTTGATTTAATTGGATTTTAGGCTTTTATCTTTAAATATTTATATTAAGTTTCTTTGGTACAATGACAACAAGATTAGTTTTTTACATATGGTATGGATGTTGCATTTTGTATTTCGAATTATTGCATTTGAGATTTTCTAATTGATTACTATTTTTTTAATTACCGCGCACACAAACATCCACAAGCATAACACTGACATACATTGACTCCGCAACTCGCTGATTAACAACACTTATACATACTTGCACTCACACATAGCCCACGCAACACTCGCGTAGTCATGCGCATCTGGAAACATGCTTGGGATTGTATGTAGTTGATTTTTGTTTGAGAAAATGAAATTGATTTTTTTTTTCCAAGTATGTATGGAGGCATGCTTGGGGTTATTTTCCAGTGAAGTTGTATGTAGATAACATTCAAGCCTTTAAATCTCCATTAGGCTTACGATAGCCCCTTTTCATTCATATCTTTCCTTTTGAAATTATGAATTATTTTTTATTTATTTATTTCTTTCTTTTGGGATCATGGATCAATTTTATATTTTTTTTTCAACAAATTGTTGCATAAAGTATTTGATAAATGTTGTAGACCTTTAATTCTATGGTGGGAGTTGTTATACTCACTTTAGATTGAAATCTTCGGATTTATTGTTTATTGTGCATGTGTGTAAATATACAATTTTTTTTGAAAAAAACATGGTAATAAAGTTAATTGTATATCGTTATGGTGGATACGTGGTTGAGTTTGTTGGTAAATGGTTGTGTTATGCAAAATTGTGGCGTGACAGTGAGACATTTGATAGCCTTTTTGGGTATGAAAATAAATTGTGTACATGTTGAAATTTTTTTAATATACATGTTGAAAATAAATTGTATACATAGCCAAATTTTTTTAAAATATATTAAACTCTTTAACTTTTTATCCAATGAAGTTCTAACTTTTGCCAATTGTTAATTTTGGTTACACAGTATCTTTAGACACATGCACAAGATTAATTGAACCAATTATCTTGATTTGTTTAAATTTTGCTTGGATTTTTTACTTTTGTTGTAGTAATTTTTATGTGGGAGTCGATATGGATGTTAATTAAATGAGTACATTTGGAATTACAGGTTAGATTTGATATATGTAAATCAATACGGATAAAGTTGAGCTTTATTCTATTGCAGTAATTGATGAATTGTTTCATTAAAATAGAATTAGGGAGTGATATTCAATCTGAAAAATGAATTGGGTCATATTTTCTTTAAATTCATATGTTTCTTATTAATAAGCATATTTGATAAATTATGTACACAAGTTGATATATTTTTTTTGCGTTATGTTTTTAAAGTAAATTTTGTCAAATTTTTTTATATTGATTGAAAATGGCGTAACTAAAAAAAAAATTTATTCAAAATTTTTGTATGTTGTAGAAAATTTTTGTATTACATGATTAATACTCAATATTGGGTTACATAATGTCTTCAGTTGCAGGTTTTGTCAAATTTTTTTTTTTTTTAAAAAGTGGTGGTTGTGATTTGATATAGTGGACTTGATATTTTGAGGAGCTCAATTTTTATATTACACCGTATCTTTAGGTACGGGTTATTACTAATATATAATACACAAGTACCCAAACCAAATAATCCTAGTCATATTATCCCATTCTTTCTTACCATCCAAACACGCCTTACACCCCTTACTCAAAGCCCACAAAACAAACATGATCTAAATAACTAGATTAGGAAATTAGATTTTGATTAAATTAGGTCCAAAGCTCTAACCCAACATGCCGCCGACCCCCCCCTCGCGCCACTGATCAGTTTCCTCTCTCTCTCTCTCTCTCTCTCTGGAGAGCTCTCTCGACGGTACAATTCTCTCTCTCTCGTGCACACAAACAGCCGCTCTTTGACAGTTCTCTCACTCTAGAACTTACAGGTACGATTCTCTTTCTCTGTTCCTTAAGTTTGAGACCCTAATATTGTTAAACCATAAAGATGCCGCCGTCCAAAGCTAGCCTCATTTCGGCCACCACCAGTATAAAAGTCGCTAGTCAGTTTACCTGGTTTCTGGGTTTGTTTGGTTTTGCACATGGGTTGGGAGACCCGACATATGCGGGTTTCTGAATTTGGTTTGGAATCTATTCATGGTGGTTTGATTTGGGCGATAATGAGGATTGAATTTGCTTGAAATTGAGTATAATATTTGTGCATGGATTTTGGTTTAGGTTTGTGGTTGATGGTTGCATTAATTCGAGGAGCTTTTAAGACTCTTTTAGTTTGGTGCAAATTATTGTGCTCCGGTACTGTAAAACAAGTTTGTGATATTGATATATCTGGATAATTTATCCGAAATTTGGCGACCATGTAAAATAGGTTGACAACTTGATTGCTCTGGTCAATTTCAAGGTATTTTTCTCGAAAATTAGATTTATATGTCGGAACTCAGAGCTTGATTGTATTGCACAGGTTCTTTGGTGCTTGGTGATTTATTGAAAGACTGAGAATTATTGTTCAGGGCAAATTTTTGGCGATATGTGCATTTAAAAATTATCAGGTCAGTTTTTTCTCTCCCTCCCTCGTTCTCTTTGCCTCGCACCAAAATGAGTCTGTTTGGCTTCAAATTTAGATATTTGTTAGGTTAATCTTTTAAATATCTTTAACCCATACGCATTGGTTTTTCTGATAACCTTTTATCTAATTGCAGTTGATTCACTTAGATTACATAAATAAATTGGGACAAAATTTTGTTGAGTTGAGACTTATAATAACATTGAGAAATTTGTTGAAAACTTAGGGAACAATTCTAGAAACAGTTTCTGCATTATTTTTTTGTCCAGTTGTACTGTGAGGCTAAAATAATGACTGTGGAGCTATCAAATAAACAGTGTTTAACATGGATTTTTGTTCAGTTCAGTGTGAAATTGGAATGATTCAGCAATTCTTTATAACTTCATGGAACACTTGAATAACCAGTTATTGTGATAGAAAAACATGTCTTTTTTGAAGGACTGTTTCTGTTTGAATCCTTGAATTTTGCTGAATACTCCAAATTTATGATGGAATCTTCCCAGATCTTGCCAATTCAAATTCGAGCATCTAGGCCAAATCTAAATTTTTGGGAATTTGCATTTAATTAACCATATTTTGAAACCCCAGTGACTCAGTCCTCAGAAAATAATGTATCCTGCTCTAATATTATGGTGCCCACCAACGTGTAGATATTTGTTACTGGGTCTGCAGAAAACCATCAATGGGACTCACTAAAATCAAGTGGGTGATTGAATTGGCGAAAAAGAGACAATAGTAGAAATTGAGTGGGTCCAAATACATACTTGATGTTCGGACTTCGGATTCCCTCCTTGTGACTGGGAACCAAACCGCCTGAATGTTTTATAAACCTTAGCCCATTTTGTGCCATCATGTTCAAGTGAAGTCTCTTTTTCCCGCCATATCATTACTTTCGGGTCACGATCTAAGCACCTCTTTGTCTATTTTCCGCTTCAGTGCAAGAAGCCTTAAAATTGATGGTGAGTTGTTTATATTTTATGAGACATAAAATTTGCACTCAAATTGTCAATTTTAAGGCTTCTTGCACTAGCTTGAAACTGAACTTATTATTAATTTGTTTTGGCGGTGATTATAATTTTAGGTGAGTTTGAAGCAATTAGAGATATGGCAGTGAGAAAGATTTTGCGGGATTTGAGTAGTGGGAAGAAGCTACTGCCCTTGTTCACTCCTACTTCTTTGCTGCATTCTCACGCAACAAGCTTTGGTGGGTCTTTCTCTCTTAATTATTGTTTAGAATTTAGTTATTCATAGTGTATATTTATTATTATTTTTCCGTTTGTTCTGATTTCATATGCTGCTATTTTGTGAATTTACCGGAAGAAGTCTTGATTGTTGGCATTGTGGCTAGTTGTTTTTTGTCAGAGGTTGTTACCTAGTTCAGTTCCCATTAACTGAGCATGTTGGATGAGGTGGACTAGGTACGACCGTACTAGTCTAGGCTTTGGTTATTTGCACAGAGAGGTTGCCATTAGATTCCAACATATTAGGATTCTCTCCAGGATTAAACTTTCTCAATTTCATCAAATTTGTATCATCTGCTGCATGTTGGTCTGGATCAACCTTTGAAGTGCAAAAATGGACATTGTACATGGGGCGTGGACGCAACACAACACAAACACGTCATCAAGGATTATTTGTGTCATAATCATGTTTGATGTATTGTAGAGTTCACTATTTTATATAGTTATAAATACATAAAAAAAAATAAGCTACATACTGATCTTTAGTCTGAAATAATATAGCAAAGATATGAAGACGTGAACTTTATTCCTTAAGTAATCACCCACTCATGTCATATAAACACCATCATTTCACTCATATCAGATAAATGCTAGCATTTCGTTTTGACCAAATGACCCAGTAACCAACAATAAGTGCATAATTGCAAAGAATGTTAGTTTTCAATCCTTTCCAAAACCCTTGAAATGGTCCTCAAATAAGACAATCCCTAAGAATCACCCAACTCTCTCTTGCCAACTAGAAGGAACTTTCACCATAATCCTCAACTCAAAGCAACTTGGCAATGAAGGTAAGGTGGTCAATGCTCTCTGTCTCAAATATTTTATATACAACATTAATATGGTTAGTTTAATAATTATATATTTTCCAGAGAATAAGATAGTCCAGCCGTCAAATTTTGAAACTTTGTTGATCACATGTTGGTAAGTGTGCAAGAAGTGTCAACCATATTTTTTGTTTTTTGTCATATACGCAACTTAAATAGTTTCGACATTTTGCCAAAAAATTATCATACACATACACAATTTAGAATTTAATTTTTCAATTATGGACATTGCTAAAAGAGTGTCAAACACGTCGCTAAGAGCATCCAAGAAATGGCTATGTATGACACATGTCACACACATACACTTTTGTAGACCAGAATGCAATGAGTTCAGTTAGATTGTGGTTGATGATTTGGAATTGAGCGAATCTAGTATTAAAAATGTCGCACCCTATCCTCGAAAGGTCAATCCCAACCTTCACTAGCATATGATGCAATTACCTGTAACTTGTTATCCATAATTAAGCCAAAATAATTTAACTCGGACAAGGATAATTATATCCATTCCCATAAACAAAGAACCTGATATGAACATATAAACATAGTGTAAATAGGCAACTATTCAAGTTTTCACACTGTCTCAAATCTTCGCCAAAACTCAATCTGTCTATCAAACCATAGATGAAACTGATGTTGGTGTAATTGCCTCAGCACGTAGCACACATTATCATATGATCCACATAAGTACTAATCCCTTGCTCAAATGAATGATAGAAAACATACAAAAACTTCCAATTAGGTTATATTTGAAATCTAAGTATAAAAACAATGCAATTCTAAGTCTAAAATTAATGACCAGCTTGACTATCATGTGAATTTTTGGGTATTTACTGGCTCCATACTTTGAAGTTTTAAACGAAACCATCTTCATTTCAAACTAGACTTCTCAGTATTTCAAACCATATGTCATAAGCTAAAATTAGAGTTCTGTGTTCCATGTAAAAAGTTACACTAAAAGTTGGTTGCATTTAATCAGTCACAGATTTTCAGCCAACTTTAAACAATTCCCAGTTTTCACTCCAAATGATACATCGATCAGGGTTTCCTAGGAAGAGAAATAACTGATTTCTCATTGGGAGACAAAATTCTGCAATTTGGAGAATCACTAAGGCCTTTCTGCGATTCGATGCGCGGCCTTAGCGTTACACTTCACCAGTTTAGCAACTAACATGCAATATTGACTTCTAAAAGCTCAAATTCCAACAAAGCCTCATTCCAACTCTTAATTTGTCATACTTACGTTCGAGCCATTAAATTTCAATGGAGCTAAAATTCCAACAAACCCAAACCTTGGGGCTTGCTTTAGGAGATAATCCATGGGCTTTGAGTATTTTGGTTCCCGTGGCGGGAGTCTTTCTCTAGTAGAATCGGTGTTTGGTGGCATTCCTGTCCAAGATGTCTCTATTTGAAATGCAATAAGTTGGCTTGTAGATTTGATAAAATGGTGAGTGATTTTCTTGGGAAGGAAGTGGGAAAGGGAGGAGAAATCATTTGTTCAGTTGCGATTCGATTTCTAAATTTAGGGACAAGTTTGGTTTGAGTAGGGCAACTTGATTGCTATAAATGTAGCCATTATTGGAAAATGGTTATGGAGATTTTTTTGGAAGAAAAGTCATGTTGTTTGTTTGGGCATAAAAAAGCAAATATGTTGTGCACGGACGAGATTCTAGTGTGGTTGAAAGGATAACTTTTTAATGTTCATGAAATTCATTTCTTAGGGTTTATCTTGGTGTTCTCAAATTATCAATTTGGTTGTGGGTGATAGGGAGGAGGGGGTTTGTTTTGGGTGAATGTGTGGATTGGAGATTCTTCATTCTCATCGATTTTTCCTCGTATTTATTGCTTGTCTAGAGTTTATATGTTTCAATTGCTCATATGGCTTTTTCTTCTTCCTCTACATCACTTGGAATTTCAATTTCTTTTGGAATTTTAATGAGGATTTTCATGAAATGTGTTTCTTACTTTCTTGCACTAAGGTGGTTTCTCTCAATCCTATGTCATCTGATAGAAGAACTCGGTTTGTTGAGTCTCAAGTCTATTATCTCGTAAGTCTTTCTTTGATTCAATTTTCGACAACCTTGCAATTCTAGTCTTTTCTCCACCTTTGATGATACAGAAGGCTAAGGTGACCATTAAGGTTTGTGTGTGTGCATGGACAATTACTCATGGTAGGATCAATACACAAATATTGGATTCAGAAAAGGAGACGTAGTGCTTGCTTGCTACCACAGATTTGTGTCATGTGGTGAATGAAGGATGAGAGTATTGAGCGCCTGTTTTGTTCCTTATCCAGTTACATTGGGATTGTGGTAGAATTTATGACAATTGGCAGGGGAACGTTGGGTAATTCCTACGACAATGTGTGCCTTCATTTGAGGAAACTCTCTAGGATCTTGGAAAGGATAAAAAAGCTTCTATCCTTGGGAAATGTGCAAACAGTTGTTTTCTGAGTTATTTGGTTGAAGAGAAATGTTATAATATTTGAGGGAAGAAGTGAGCACGAAGAATGCTTGAAATAGAGTTCATTTTTTGACTTCTTTGTGGGTTTCGATGATAGATAAGTTTAATGATTTTCCTCTCTTTTGTATAATGACCGACAGGAGATTGTTGTTGATTGCAGTAATGTTATGTTGGATGTTTTGACTCGTTTGTTTCTTTATTTTGATGTAAGGATCTTTGGTAGGTTGTCTTGTCCTCTAATGTATCCTTGGATTGTGCTCTTTATTTTTCTTCTTTAAATGAAGTTTATTAGCTGCCGAAGAAAAAAATCATAGGTTACATGTTGACTTCCCAAGGTTACGTTTGCAGGATTTAAAGAAGTACCGGAAGAAGAAAAGAGCCAAATGGTTGGTAATGTCTTCAGCAGTGTTGCTTCAAACTATGATCTGATGAATGATTTGATGAGTGCTGGACTACATAGATTATGGAAGGATAGGTAAGATGTTTTGGCTATGCAGCTTGAGGTTTTTAAAATAAGCAAACATATATTCTGAGTATTTTGCTAATGCATTTATTTTTCGCTTATCTCTAATCAGACTGGTTGCTAAATTGAATCCATTTCAAGGAATAAAGCATCTTGATGTGGCTGGTGGAACAGGTTGGTTTTGTTTTGCTCTATCACTTTCTGTATTGGTTTTCTTGATCAGTAATTTGTGCCACAACCTTGATGCAAGAGAATAATAAAGAGAAAATGTTCAATGTCCTCAATACTTCTTCTACATGTAACACCCCACTGGAAAGAAAGGCAAGCATATGGTCTTCCATGAATCACATCACAGGTATTTATCCTTCTACAAGCAAAAGTCCATCCAAAATGTTTATTGTGTGGGATCAGTTCAATTATTAACCTGATTGTGCGGTCCCCACATGCACATAAGGAGTTAGACAGAAGAATCAGAAGATATAATCAGAGGCATAACAAATGCATCCATATCAAAAATAAGGAAGAAACGAAATACCAACAATGATGAAATTGAAATGACGAGTCTCGCCCAAGCTCTCTTGAAGCCCATATTTGATACCATGTCAAAAGCATGCAACTGCAAATTAATTTGCAATGGGTAGAGAGGTTCACATTTGCATATACTAGTTTAAGAGTTATTATTATATCAATGTAGGACAAGCTCTAACATATCTATAACTTGAATTGCAACAGAAGATTCATTTCAAAAAGAATAAGGAAAAAGTGGAAGAATTGCAGTGAAAATGAAATGCAGACCTTTTAGTTTGCATTTAAATTTGAGCTGAAGGAAAAGGACAAACAACTGCTTAAAGCTTCCAGTACTGAAGAAAATGTTCTGAGCTTATATAGAGACTATGAATTCTCTAGTTTAAAAAGAGACTCTTGCCATTCTCCTTCAACTTAAGGCATGGAATTTAAGCATTAAGATGAGTGTTCAAGGTGTTGAACTAAAGGATAGATGTTTTGCTTGTTCCAAGAAAGAAGCCTTAGTTATAATGGTGGAAAACATCTGCAGGCAGAAACTATTTACGTTTGTTTTGTTGACCTATTATACTATCTGTGGGAGCTTGAGTCTAAATTTCTCTAATTTTACAGGGGATGTTGCTTTTAGGATCCTCGAAACTATAAATAGTGTCAATCGAAGAGCCATGCAAGATGCTCTTGAAGACAATTTACAGGAAGAAACTCAGATATATGTATGTGACATCAATCCAAATATGTTGAATGTTGGTAAAAAACGTGCCCAAGAAAGAGGTACTGCCTTAAATGTGCATTATGTTTTATATTCTATCAATGGGAATGAAATTGGAGTATTTTAATGGCCTTTTTCTTTGGAGTATTTATTCTGTTTCTGCTTGGCGTGACAGATGTCTTATGACTTGTCTAGGTCTTGGAGATGATGGATCCCTCATATGGGTGGAAGGAGATGCTGAAGCCCTATCTTTTGAAGATAATTCGATGGATGGTTATACAATTGCATTTGGGATCAGGAATGTTACACACATAGAGAAAGTCCTATCTGAAGCTTATAGGTAGCTCTCACTCCTTGGCCTGACTGCTGTATGTATCATATGTTATAAAAGCTTGAGTTAGGGGGCTGTTAAAGTTAAGCTGGTTTCAAGATCATTGAAGGTACCATCTCTCTTGTACTTAGCTATGAAGCACGGACACTCAATTTGGGCGCACATATCAGTGTCCGACATGTCTGGGACACAGACACACCTGGACACGTGTCGGACGCACAAAAAAATGGTGGCCGATTTTTTTTTTTCGGCCACGTCCCAACACGTTTGCGACACGTTACTTTCTACATTCGTATCTAGATTTAAAGAAGATGAAGATAGCAAATATCAAGAAGAAGAAAAATTGCAATCGATTTAGACAAAAAATGAGTGTGTGTGAGAGAGAGAGAGAGAGAGAAAGAGCAACAACAAATTTACCGATCGAAGAAAAATGTTGCAGAAGGTCTTTGACGGAGAAAACGAGAGGCTGGAGAGAGAAAAAGACAAGAGGTTTAGAGTCTTTAGACTGTTCTAGAGATAAGGGAGGATAAGGCCTCTCTTTACCCACATGAAGGAACAATTATTAATGAAAATATTTTGGTGAGTTACAGCTGGCTGAAGAAATTAAGTGCAATGAGCCATTCTACACTTTGTTGATTGCACTTTGCATGTAGATTAGTCGATCAATAGATGAATAGTGTGCTGCCAAGTGCCTATAGAGGCTATTGTGAAGTACTGGATCCAGCAAC